GTGAATGAGATGGGTTTTATCACTAGATGCAGCCCGGACCGATTCCATCGTACGGTGGAAAAATTATCGAATGAGAAGCGGTTAGCAATTAATGCTATTGGGTTCGGTAATATGGCATCATTGTCTTGCACTCGTTTACACCGCCAACTATGCCAATTTTTGATTCAAAGGTTCAATCCTGATACGTCCTCTATAGAACTGCACGGCAATGTGTTTGGAATAGGTGCCGTTGAGTTTGGGCGTGTTATGGGGCTTAAGAACACTGGCGAGGATGTTCAACTGGACTGTGCTGTAGAAGATGAAAAGGTGAAACAGTTAGTGAAGAGTTTCGGTGGAAATGGCAAGAGAGTATTAGTAAAGGGTTTAGCAGAACAATTGGAAAAGTGCGAACATGTGGATGAGGACTTTAAAGTTCGATTTGTGATGTTTGCACTTGGCACTGTACTTTGCCCCACATCTTCACCATCAGCGATCGGGAACTATTTAACTTTCTTGACGATCCCTGGGAAGATAGAGACCAAGAACTGGGCCGACCATGGATTCAACTTCTTATGTGAAGGTGTTAGGTCGTTCCAAGTGAAGAAAGTTTCATATGTAAATGGGTCACTGCTTTTTCTTCAACTATTCTATTTCGATTCAATTCTCCATGGTAGAGTATATGTTGATAAGTCTTTGGATCCCATTATGTCATGGGACAATAAGTTGGTGTGGAAAATGATTAAATGGGTTAGAAAGCAAGGTGGGTTTGATAGTCCTACCGTTCGGGTTGTTTCAAAGCACCGTCCAACGAATGAAGTGTCCGGAGTAAACGTTGAAAGAATTGTTGAACAAGTTGCTATCAGATTGGCGCCGGTAATACAGGCAGAGGTGAAGCGATCAGTGTTGGAACTCACCGACAAGGTAATGAATGAAATGAGATCCTTCATGAAAGACGCAAGACAACATCTTCATCCAGCACATGAAGATGTAAATGAAACTGAGGACGGGGCATTGAAAATACGAGATCAAGGTGTTGAGAATGTTGTGAAGAAGAAGGGTGAAGAATGTAGCCAATTAAAGGAGAAAGGTGCAGTTGGGTACCCAGCTTCCGGATGGCTTGCAAATTCATCCGACTATGCCCAGTACAGAGATGAGTACATACGGTATCGCCACTATGCGGACTTACGTGAAGCGGTACGTTCTACACTGAACGCATGTTATGTAATTACACTTGCTGCATGAAATGCATATAATTTTTCAAAATTCTAAAATGATACCTGAATTCCACAGGGAGAACAACATCGAACTCCGGAAGGGGCTAAGATAAGGGTAGCAAACATCTCTCCTCAGCCATGGTCAGCGCGAATACCATACTGGGCCTCTGAAAATGAAAGTAAACTTGTGCGGATACCCCGTGGCCAAGATAGCCCAGATCTACCATTACCTGATGGTGTCACGCATGTAAGTAGCTTCTATTGCATAATTTATTAATACATGAGGGCTTCCGGTGGTCATTGTTGTAATTACATGTGCCGTAATGTAGGTCACTGCTGAAGCTGCAACCGAGCTTTTGGACCTAATTGCTGGGTTGAATGCTGTACTATTTTCAACTGCATCGGAAGCAAGTGTAGAGATCAGGCGTCTACGGCAAGAAATTATGAGTCAGTTCAACTTCATTTCATACTCATTTCATAAAATTAACAAACATCACGAATGTTATAATCAGATAACAAACCATGGTATTGAACATGAACGATGTTATCTTGTAATAGGAGAAATTGAAGAACACCTCGGAAACAATCATTGCGAGTTCGGGTCCTGTTCAACACGTCGTAGATGATGATGTAGAACATGTAAGTTTGTTACTTCCAACCTCCATTGTAAAGTTCGATGTATAAGATGTTCAGTTTTGCAAATTTAAATAATATGTTACATTCTGCAATGCAAACCAGCATCACTTGTGTGCACAACAAATGTGAACAAAATTGTTTATTTATATATGTCAATGTTTCTCTTTATGTAGGAGTTTCGCACAAAATTTAAACATGACATGGGTAGAAAAGGAAAGACCAAACTTGTGATACAAGAAGAGCATGAAGAAGATGAGGAAGAGGAAGAAGAAGAGGAAGAGGAGGAAGAAGAAGAGGAAGATGAAGATGAAGAGGGAGATGACGAGGAAGTTTGGATCGAAGACGGGGATGAGGATAAGGATGAGGATGAGGATGCGGATGAGGATGGGGCCGCAGCTAAGGGTAATCCGGATGCAGAACAACACTCCACAGACCAAAAATGCAAAGGTGAGAAAAGTCTTCGTTCACCTACCCCAAAGAGAAAGAAAACCATGTAAATTATGGATACAGTAACATTTTTCGGATCATGGTATCTTCGTTTTGTAAAAGAATATGTTCAGTTTATTGGCCCTTACCGTTTCTCATGTAGTATATTTCGGTTCATTTTGCGGCCTTCAATTGATCCATTTTTCCTCTGTAGTGGTTTGCGCACAGTCACTCTCGCATTGCATCAACGTCGTGCAATTGCATGTTTACAATGCAAATGCTGACCAGGTGTGTGCAAACTAAAGATAGCTTTAAAACGCTAACCTAATTAATGGATAGTGCAAAGACAAAGAAAAGGAAGTTCCGAATTTTATTAGGACCCTCTGTGTATTATTTTTGTATTAGGGTTAATCACATTTTGGTTTACGAAATTGAGGATATTTTGGAAAGTCATTTGTGCTACATGACAATGTGTATTAGTATGTAATTTCGATATTTGGTCGATTTGTAATAGAATATGTTCGGCTTATAGCCCAACCCTTAGCATTTATTTGAATGCTCTGCATTTCTGTTGATTTCGTCCTTCGATTTATAGTTACAGAAATAGGTTTACTTATGCCTGTACAAAAAAAAAATGATCAATTTTTGGTTATTATGGGTTTGCGCACAGTCAGTCTTGCATTGCATCACCGTCATGCAATTGCATGTGTGAAATGCAAATGCAGACCGACTGTTCGCAAACTAAACATAGCTTTAAAACGCAAACTTATTTAATGTATAGCGC